TCAGACAAGTGAAAAAAAACCTTCCCCTTCACTGGCGTAGCCCCCAACTGAGAAGGAAGACCCTCTCCACATAACCCGAACTCACCAGAACCTAGCGGGGCCCAGCCTAGTAGATTTTGTGTGCACCAGCCCTGCAGGAGGGCTGGAGCACCAGTGCTAAGGGCAGGGGCTCTGAGCCTTGGAGGTTGAATCCAGGCAAGCCCCACACCTGGTCTAAACCAATGTTCCCTCTAAGCTTGTCCATCCACGTGCAGAATAATATTTCATGTGCACCGAGGCGCGTGTGAATGTGCACCACCAAAAGCCAAGCTGTAGGCAACTCTGCTAATCAGCTGGGCGGCATCTGAACCTCTCCTGAGCGGCTGCACAAGCGCCCAGCTTCCAAGGAGCTCTGGTCTACCCGACACACTATGTCAGTGTAACTACAGAAAAGCCACACCCCTCAGCATCATGGTTATACCAACCTCACCCCTGGTGTAGACGGTGCTCCATGGATGGGTAGGCTTCTCCCGTTGACATGGTTACCACCTCTTGGGGAGGGGGACTGCCTCCGCTGAAGGGACATGCTCTCCTACAGGGGTCGGTCGTGTTTTCACTGGGGATGTGATAGAATGACCATTTAAAGGGCTAACCAGTAAGCTCGTGCTTATCAGTTACCATAGCGGTTACAGGCTGGCTCCCAGGCCGGCTTCCAGGGAGCTGGCTACTGCAGCCTGCAACATGAAAGAGCTGCCAGCTCCCTAGGAGTAGGGCTGGGAGCAGGTTTCAAAGCTGGCTTCCAGTGCCCATTGGCTCCCGGGGAGCTGGCTGCCACCGTGCGCTGTAAGCGCTGCAGTACAAAATGTGGTCCCCGCAGGAGCGTTGGGAGAGCGCTGGGAGTGCGGTTCCCGGTCCTGGGCGCCTGTTCGCACTGGTGCTTTGCAGCGCTGTAACTTGCTGTACTCGGTGTGCAGGGGGCGGGGGGAATGTGTCACTCCCCTGAATGAGAAAGTTAAACGTAGCCAAGCCCTGTGTGCTGCAGCAGCGGTGTAAGTGGAGAAAGGCCCTTACCTCTGGCCTGCCATGTGCCTTGGGTGGGAGGAAGGGTGGAGGGAATGTCCCTCTATTGCTGGCCATTGTCATTACAAATGGCTCCCCAAGAGGACGCTTGGCCCCGCCACAGACTTGAAGGAGGTCTGCAATTTGTCCCCGGCTCGAAGGCCGCCTGGGTTACCCCTTTCCACCGCACGGGGAGAATGATGTGACCCGGCGGCCCGTCTCCCCCCTGCAGCTTGCTGTCAGTGCAAGATCCTGCGATGCAATTCGGACTACGTGGTCCAGCAAGGATGCTGCTTACTGCAACGCCCTCCGCTCCTACTCCCGCTGCACCCGCAAGACATCCCGGACCTGCCGGGGGAACCTGGTCTACCACTCGGCCGTCCACGGCATTGAGGACCTCATGATTCAGCACAACTGCTCCAAGGAAGGCCCCACCGCGCCGCCCCGGCCCGTGGTGCCCAGCCACCAGGGGATTGAGTCGCTGGACATGTGCGACTACGAGAAGAGTTTTCTCTACAAGCACGGCCAGCTTCCCGTCTACCAGCACTGCGCGGCTTTTGGGGACCCCCACGTCCGCACCTCGGGTGGAGGGCGCCTGGCCTCTGCTGGACAATAACTACTTGTTTGTGCAAGCCACTAGCTATCCGGTGGCCAAAGGTTCCAACGCGACTGCCACCGGCAAGGTAACACCACGGCCTGCGGCTGCCAGGCAGGGTTCCCCGGGCGTTGGGTGGCTGCCATTGCATTCGTGGTGAGAGCAGGACGGAAACAAACCTAAGAAACATGCAAGCAGTGGCAGAGCTGCTCTCCGGTGGCTGCCGGGCAGAGGGCGGGATCGATTAGAGGAGCGGATCTCGCACTGCGGCCCATGTGCTCCGTCCGTCCCTGGTTGATCACTGGGTGCTGGCCTCTGCTCCGTAAGGCCCAGCTGCTTATATGGCATCCCGAGAAGTTAGGAAAAACCACATGAAGTGCTTTCCTCATGGGACATGTAGCATAGGGCCCGGCCGGCAGCCCCAAATAGCAAGCACAGGGGTTCAGGGCTGCGTTAAGGCTGTGTTCCTTACAAGGAGAAGGAAGAGAAATTGTTCTCCTTGGCCTCGGAGGCTAGGGTAAGAAGCACTGGGCTTAAATTGCAGCAAGGGAGGTTGAGTTTGGACATTAGCAAAAGCTTTTTACCTGTCAGGCAGAAATAAATTGCCTACAGGGGTTGTGGAATCTCCATCCCTGGAGATATTTAAGAGCAGGTTGGACAGACAGACATCTGTCAGGAATAATCCAGAATTATCAGTGTTTCTTAAAGTATGTTCTGCAGAGAGAACAGAATTCAAAATGGCTGCCCTTAAAGGGACAAGCTTTTTTTTTTTTTTGCGCTTAACAAAACACCCTTTCGCCTGGGTGGTTGTGTTTTGTTTTGTTTCTTTCCTCAACAAAAAAATCCTTGGTGTTCCCCATTTAAAGAAAAATTGTTTGGTGTTCCTCAGTTTTAAACTTTTTAAGAAACTTGGATCTAGATGGTGCTTGGTCCTGCCGTGAGGACAGGGGACTGGCCTTGATGACCTCTCGAGGTCCCTTCCAGTTCTAGTGTACTAGGATTCGATGTAATTAGCAATGGAAGTGATGCCTTGGTTGAGAGACCATCCATCCAGCGATGGTCAGGTGACCGGGGAGAGGGCAGGGGGGCTGCACAGTCCCAACCCAATTCCACCCTGGAAGCAGCAGGGCATCCCCCACCAGTTTTCCCACGGCTGGCATCTGCTGGAGATAGCAAGGCTGAGGGACCAGCTGAAAGAAGGGAGATGGGAAGGAGTCCAAGTGGCCTTTTGGGTAAGGCATCAGCCTCCAACACCTGAGTGTGTGGGTTCAAGTCCTGCACTGGGAGCCACGCTGCCCTGTGCCATGCTCCAGGTGTGGGCCCAGCCTGGCATAGTGGAAACCCTCTGTCCTTAGGGGTGCAGCAACCTGCTGCAGAGTCCCAAGGATGAGGGGCTGCATGGTAGGTGGTCAGTTTCCAGATCTTATTTCAGTGCCAGCCAGGGCAGGGCCATACTGGGGTGGGCACTGCACAGAGGTGCCCACTCCTCCAAAGGGCTCATAGTCTGAGCAGAGAGACCCTGGGCAGGAGGAGAAGCAGTTTGCCTAGGGTCCGGCGGCCAGGGAGGGGCAGAACTCCGAACAAAACCCAAGAGGCCTGAGTCTCAGCCCAGCACTCTGTACGCTGGGGGTCTGTTCCGAACTTGGATCTGCCTCCCATCTATCGCTAGGGGAAGGGCAGGGTGGCTGTGACCTTGTGACAGACGTGCAGGAGTGTCCCCCTCTGGGTAACCGGGACTAGACCCTAGGGCAGCAATGCAGCAAGACTAGTGCGTGGGCTTCAGGGGTGGCTCTGTTCATCTCAGTGAGCCACCAAACTCCCAAATCCAGCATATACCCCTGAAATTAGTGCTCGCACCTCCATTATTGACTTTACTGTGACTGTGAAAGGTCTAGAAGATCAGCTCCTAGGGAGAGTCATTCTCACAGAGAAACAGGTATGATTCGCAGCATTCCAGCTCTGGGAGGGAAAAAGGAGCGGGGAAGGAAGGCAAATCAGCAGATTCATGGTGCTCCGAAAGTGCCACGAGGGTGGGGGAGGAGTTGGAAATTCAGGGCCCCAGAGGCACTGGGGAGGAGGGGAGCAGACAGGGGGTACATGTGCCACAAGTGGAACCCCAGTGGGTCGCATGCAGCCCGCCAGTTGCCCACCACTGCATTAGGGCCTCTGACACACGTGCTGCTTTCTTTTCCCCCTGCAGCTCACGATCATCTTTAAGAACATGAAGCAATGCATCGACCAGAAGGTCTACCAGGCCGAAATAGACAACCTGCCGGCTGCCTTCGAGGACGGCTCGGTGAACGGTGGGGAGAGGCCAGGGGGCAGCAGTTTGACCATCCGGGAGCGCATGTCCGGGCAGCACGTGGAGATCCGGGCCGCCTACATCGGCACCACCATCGCCGTGCGCCAGGCGGGCCGGCAGCTGTCGTTCTCCATCCGGGCAGCCGAGGAGATCGCGCGGGCCTTCACTGACGAGCAGGACCTGCAGCTCTGTGTGGGCGGCTGCCCGCCCAGCCAGCGCCTCTCCCGCAGCGAGGGTCGCCGCGGTGGGATGGCCGCGGAAGTGGCTCGCATGCTGTGCAAGGAGAAGCTGCCGGTAGAGGACGTCTACTTCCAGTCCTGTGTCTTCGATGTGGTAACCTCAGGAGATGCCAATTTCACCCTGGCAGCCCACGGAGCTCTGGAGGACGCAAAAATGTTCCACCCAGATGCTGAGAAATTGCACATCTTCCAGACTGGGGCAGGCTGCCATCTCCTCTCCCTACCCTTCCTCCTTGTCGTCGTCATCACCGCTAACCTCTTGGCTGTTCAGTTGCTCTGTTAACGCTCTTGTCTAGCAGGTAACACAAAGGGCCCAAGCGGATGACAGGAAGAACGTCACTGACCCAAGAACCTATAGCTGCTCTGGGGCATACACACTGGGGGGCGAGGAGGGTTAGACATCCCATGAAAGGAAAGGGTGCTTGCACCTAGGATCCAGCATTGCAGGAGGTGGAACGAAATGGAACCAAACTGGCAGAAGGCCCAGGTCTTCAAGGAAAGGCTGGGAAATAGCAGCTCACATTTTCCAGTCCTCAGCGTGCTTGAGTAGTTGAGTTTTGTTCTGCTCCCGAATGTTAGTGGAATTTTCCCACCATGGATTCTGATACTTTTTTTCCCCCCCTCACTTAATAAACGTGGGGAAGCTGCTGTCACATAGGGGAGGAAAAACCCATGTGGGGACTTAACTTCTATTTTCGTTACTTCTGATCATGCGCCTGAACGACACCTGATTTTTCTGAGTTTCTGCCAGTCTTGTGCGAAGCGAGTCGCGGCCCCACAAGATAGGGGTCCTTGTAAATTACCTGCTTGGGTTTTCTCCACTTGAGTTCCAGCCTGGTTGTAGTAGACACTTGCTCAGGAACCTGCCAAAGTCAGAAATGAATGAGCTGTCACCCGGATTCCAAGCTTTTGGACGGCAAAACGTGTTGGTTTGTAGCGCCAGACGTTCTGGGGAAAGCTGCTGCCGAAACGGCATTGAAACGAAGAAAAAGTAGCCAAAGGGTAACCAGGTCTTGCTCAAAGTTTGGATCCCTTGAACTACTTGGGCTAGGGACAACTATTTTCTACTGTATTCTCCTTGTTTAGACTATTGCTGTAATGCTGACTTGTAGCCCTTGTGTCTGCAAAAGTGTCAGATTTCCTAAGTTTCCCTTTAAAACAGTCATCAAAGCATTGCAGGTTTCTTTATTCTTTTTGGCACCAGTCTTGGACTGAAGATAGCTAGCAAGTCCCAGACTTTGGACCGAGGTTGGCTTTTTCTCTATGTCTTGTTGAGACTCCTCTAATTTCTCCCTTTTTGTAGCCCACGCTTAGTAGTTAGGACCTGGGTTGGCCTTTTCTCTATAATGTCTTGTTGAGACTCCTCTAATTTCCCCCTTTTTGTAGCCCACGCTTAGTAGTTGTTCTGTCTCCCATAGCCCCATGATGACCCAACCAAGAACACTGGCTTGATGTCAAGAGAAAGATTAGTAACGTCATAAACCCCAGAAGACACGATGGCCAAAGCTAACAGATTGTGCCAGTGACTAGGTAAAATATTAAGGAATGTACATAAATATCGCTGTGACGCTGACGGTAAATGGTTAATATATTTGAGGTTTTAAGAGACGTGGATAGAGTTCTATATGTTCACAAATATTTTCCATATACAAAGACGAAAAAGAGGGGATTCGTCTGCTAAA